ATGTGTATATACTTGCGTAATCGCACGCACGCACAACGTTACAGTGCGCAACACGAATTTCTTGCTTTTTCATTCGTTCTCGATCGCGTGCGAGACAAAATGTTGTTTCTAAACGGAGACGTCTATTTTCCTATTTGGACGAAGAACACGTGTCGGAATATCTATTTCTGTTTCTCATAATCAAGCTGTTAGCGTCACGTTGGTGATGATTCACTAACTTGTTGTTAGAAAGTAATCAACGTCCCTGTCGAGAAGTCGATGGAATTATAGCGCTATATAGCGATAAACGATTGATAACATGGTGGCTGGGCGAGTCGGGGAGAAACGCGCGTTGCTGCACGATTATGATAAGAAGAAATTTCACGTAAACACATAGTTAGCATGTCGCCTGATGATTAATTAGTAATATCGTAATGTATCAGCAGTTAGCGAAATCGATAGTCGCGCGAAATGAACGAGAGAACAAATAATTAATCGCAGATAACTCGCGTAGACTGAGGAGACTAAGATGTATGGCGGGCTATTGTTAACGCGGCGATGGGCTCAGAAATCCAATTTTGGTAGAGAGCGGGATAAAGGGTCGCTGCCGCCGCCGCAGCCGACGCCGACGCCGCCGCCGCCGCCACCGACGCCACCGACGCCGCCGTCGGGGGTGAGAATGCGATGCGTAAGAGACGAGGGGAATCAGGGGGTTGTACTCAGGACGTAGAGTTATTGACCTGCCGACGAGGAGGCTCTCTTGTTCGGGAGGAATGGCTGGCAAGAACTTTCTCGAGGTCGTTTGCGTGGCGCACGAGACGTTGTTTCGTTGTCGAGGCAGAACGTAGAAAAGAATCAGCCATTCGCTCTTTAATCGATAAAGCTATACACAAAGACTTTATACCGATTTATGTTTTGAATTTTTTGTCTGCTACAACGATATGAGATGCATTATCGTATTATACAACTGTGTTACGTTTACGTTCTTATTTTTCCGACGTTAATCTTTAAACAATATGATTGGAAACAGTGTTAATCTTTAATTGTAATAAGTCGGATGATCGCAGCACACCTCAGGTATAGTTTTTTCTTTCAAACTTTGTTCTGAAAAGAAAAAAGTATTACCCAGATGCTCAGAAGATTTAAAGTTCATTATCTTCATATTTCTCTGTCTTATAAGGGAATAAGTAATGTAAATTTCACTACGCTGAGAAAAATTTCTGGTTGAAAATGAACGAGTCGGAAAATTCTAATCGTATCAATAAAATCTTTGGTTATTTCAATTAGAATTATAATAAAGTCAATCAAGAAATCTTGATTGATTTGCCCAGGTTAAAAAATTCCTTAGTAGCAGATTCTTTTCCAAATGTATAACATAATATAGTAAAAAGTGTAACTAAATTTAATTTTTGAAGGATTTTTTTAAGCACCCCATCTATCAACTTGTGCATCATTACATCGTCTACCTACTTAAAGATCGTGTGTTAGGATTGCAAATTTAAAATATCACCTCCCAAGTTTAACACCATCATTCATTACGTTTCATAAATATTCTCATAGATGAATTTGATCGCGGGCGTTAAAATCTTTTCTTCGAAATCGTCTGTTTATCCTTTCTACCTCTCGTATTTCCTACTAATGAGACTAACGACCCGCATTAATATCGTAGTAATAAATAAAACTGCACTTCGATGCGGGGAAGGAAGATTCTCTCTTAAACAAGGAAATACTTTGTTCTATTAACATTATACGACAATGTACGTTGTAACGATTCTTGTTAATTCTGAGAGTGTCCTTCGAAGGTTCCCTGCTGCGTGTGCCTTATATGTCTTCTGTCGAACCGCCTGCTGACCAGTCTTTGCCCCAAAAATATTTTCTCACGGGCTCTCATAATTTCGGAGACTCGTGTTTTTAAATAGATTCGCTATGCCATTCCAGTCTCTGCTGTGGAATGGAAATGTTGAGAATGACGATGCGATTTGATGTGTACTTTCAAATAACAGAATGAGGCGGTTATTAGAATAATTAAAACTGTAATGGATCCCTTTATTGAGTGAAAGCGACCGAGCGGGACGACGCTTGATTATTTCGTCGCGTTTACGTAACACGCCGTGGAAATATAATTGCCCGCCGCGGGTACCCCTGCCTCGTACACACTCACACACGTAGAAGATCTGCAACGACACTCTGTTTGTCGCATGCAAGCGTGGACCGTAATGAACTTCTCGGCCACCGTCTAATACCATCGTCGCTTTTTCTGCCAGCCACCAAAGTGTAACCAATGTAACCGCGAGCCACCGTCCAAGTTCCTCGACGATGAGGAATTATCAGTGAAAGCATATCACGTACATCGACACAGATCTAGAACGCCTAAGAAAGACAAACAGAGAGAGAGAGAGAGAGAGGGAGAGAATTAAACATGACAATTGCAGAGTTCATTTTAGACACGCGATCTTTTCCGTAATTTGCACTATTTTGTACAATTTTAGATCTGCGAGAGTCTTCGTTGTTTCGCGAGAGATTTCGCTTTTAGTCATTCGCATTGAATTAGTCGGAAATTTGTTTTCGCAAATTAACGCGTGAGCGTTCCAAGACTTCCCCGAGTCCCCTTCCTTTGAAGAAAATCAAAGAAAAGTTTACGCACGGTTATTAAAGTGTTCTTACACTTAAAACGCGTGAAATGTTTGGAAAGGAAAGTACGTGAAATCATCGCACAGGACGATATCCCTTGCGCGATCGCCGCGGGAAAGAGGGAAATGATTTTTCACCCGCGAGCTCCGGCATTCTCTCATAGCGCGCAGTTTATACTCGGAGGTCAGTCTTGAGTCGACCCAGCGCGCTCGAGTAAACGCGATCTTCCGCGACGCGATTAATTTTCTCGTGTGCCCGCCGTCGTACTCGCGCATGTAAGTATACAGATATATGTACACGTTTCCTCTGACAAGCTTCGAGCCGACGATGAGCTGAAACTGCGTAAACTTCGTACAAGTATCGCGTTCCATCGCTGTACAGGCGATAGCATTAGGAAATCATAAAGTCTAATGTGAGTCTAATGAGAATCGATGGACATGGCGGGATATGTAAAAGCGAAATGCTTCTTCTCCGATTGGTAATATGAACAGATCGTTAGAGATAAGATGTATTGGTGTATCGACACTCTTGCGGAAGACCGGACTGGCTTTAAATTATCTAAGATCTGTAATAAATGCGAGAAAGTTATCGTTCTTTCGGATTTCTTTTCTGCGCTTCTGTGCTTTCTTAGAAAGAACGGCTTTGCTGAAAGATATAACTTTGCTGAATATGCAGATCTAAATATAATTTCGTTAAACCGTGAAAATAATTATATTGGAAAAAAATTGTGAAATGCGCTGCAAAAAATTTTGACATCACGACTGGTTTGAATTTCGAAATAATAAAATTATTTTCAGATCTCGCTAGACGATCTAAAATTTTGCTGATATGGATCTGAGAATAATCTTGATGGAACTATCAAAATAATTGCATTGGAAATTCAAAATGATGAGCAATATTTGCAAATGATTGCGAAATTTTTGCTATTTCAGCAACCGTTTTGAATTTTCAACAAAATTATTTGTTTCAGAGCTTGCTGAAAAAAAAAATGTAAAGTTTAGCCAAATACAGATCTGAAAGTGATCTTTTGTTAGACCATCGAAATAATCATATTGGAAATTTGATGAGCAACGTCGCCAAAAATTTTCATATTTTAGCAATAGATTTGATTTTTTTCTAATAAAATTATGTTGATGGTCTAACAAAATCCTTTTCAGATACGTATCCAGCAGCATTTCTTTTGATAAAACCGTTCATTCCGTGTGTGGCCATCGACAACAATGAGAAGCAGTGTTTGGAGCTCTTACCGACGATACTTTCCCTTTCCTATCACCATGAGGCAGGGGCGCGTATGTAAAAGTTCCACGCAAAAATCACCGCCCGCCTATCCGCGCGATATAATGCAACTCGCCGCGCGATTACGAGATCATGCACCGCAATTTCACGCGGTCGCAAAACATCGCATTTTACGCTCGTCTCTATGCGGGTACGATCGCACGCGCTCGCTTCGCCAATTACCAGTCGCTCGTTGCTTGTATGACTTGTAAGTTGGACGAAGCGATAGGTAATTACGCTAATCGATCCCACATTCGTATTGACTGTTGTAACACTTTGCGCGATAAACGTCCGCGACCGGAATTCTACGACGTGACTTCGTTCTTTAGTCCTTGTCCACGTATTTTATTAACCTGAGATTTATTCACGTGCCAGAACATTTGATATTCTTTCGCAATGTGTCATAATTTTCTGCATTTCTAAAAGTATTTTTTTGCATAACAC